CAGTCGACCCGTGGCACCTGGGTCTGCCCCATGACCTCCTGCCGGCGGGCGTTCGACACTTCACGTGGCCTCAAGGTGCACATGGCCTGGCACAAACGTCGTGGTGACGTCACCACCACTTAGTGGCGAATGGTGATTGTTGTGTGCGTGTATTATAAACTGGGCTCCGAACATGGCCACCCTAATTCGATTTCTCCGCACGGCCAACACCAGTGACGATTATCCGAACCGGTCCTGGGCCTCCCCTAGGTCGACTCAGCCTGAAATGAATACCTGGTGCGATGTGTAAGCATCACCACTCGGGAGACAAAGGCGGCCGCGTGTGGCACTGACCACCCACCCACCCACTCGTGTGCCGTGCCGGCCTTCAGAGGTTCTCACGAACAGCACTTGCCCCCAAAGTCTGAAAAAGTCGAGAGGGGGATCTTTGTCGTCTTTGTGCAAACCCAACTGTTGGCTTGTGGCCATACACATTGCTTTGTCCCCGAAACTGTGTTGGAGGCCCTGTTTAGTGGTAGCGAACACAAACCCAGTGCCAGCATTATCACCGCCACCCGATGCCTCCAAACCCTGCTTGATATGAAATGTCCTGTTTGGAGGAACAGTCTCTCGAATCGATTTGTATTCTTCCATCTCCTTGTGAGCTGGCTCCGAAACCTGCTTATACTCTCAGGAGCTGTCTGTACCATCCTGATCGTTGTGACAAAACACCTTGTGAAAGACCCCACGCAGAAGATCCCTGGGGTTTGCTCTTCTACGAAGCTAATGGACGCAGATGCGGATACCTGATTTACAAATTGTGAAAATTAAAAAACTCTTCGGTGTGTAACGCTGGTCATCCAGAACAGGTCGTACGACATATAACGATGCAATGCCCGCTCCACAAATACGACGAAGACATCGCAGCAATACACTCCGCTACTCCTGACGTGGCTATCTGGCTTGACCACCTAAATGTGAAATTGTAATTGTTGCATTTACATCAACCAAACAAAATAAAATATTAAAAAATATTTTAAAAAACACTTTAATGAAATGTACTGTCCGAGCTGCCCTGCCCCCTTCCCCCATCGCCCCTCCCCTCCTTCCACATCCCCCGCCCCTCGGCGTGGCTCCCCGTGGCTTGCCGTGACGAAATTGTGAGCTGGCTCTGGAGCTGATTCCATCTTGGGAGTGGCATAAACTTGGCTGGAATAGAATGTCGGTGGCCATGGGGAGGGAATTGGCCCGGATGCCTCAGAAGTTAGCTCACTAACCTCAAGAGTCGTCAGACGTTTCAGCGTCTCGGAGGCTGGCTCCGATACCATGAGAGGCGGCTCACAATTCCCAGGGGTCAAATTCGGCTTCTGGGTCTCGGACGTTGGTGTGACCCTGAGATGTTCAGGAGCCAGCTGTGCTGGCATTGCAGAGGACGGTGGTGGTGATTGGGGCTGGATTTGGATCTATCAGCACTGGCTGCGACTCCTCGAAACTACATTTTTATTTCATTTTACCAGACAAGGCCCACTGAGCAATATAACTCTTTTTCAGAAACGACCTAACAAATAATAGCCCAATGAAGTGGCTCATCATGTGGAAATGTATAGCAGCCAAAAACGAAATGTTTAGCAGCCAAAAACTTTAAAAATCGCGAGAACCTGGAGAAAAAACCAAACGACCACGGGGGGGGGGGGGGGGGGGGGAGAGACATGCAACTCCAAATATACAGGTGTCAAGGGGTCAAACCCACGATCCCCTGTATACCAGGCGAGGTAGTTAACACATCGCCACCGTGGTACAATCTCGGTCAGGTCAAGCGAGTTGCTACTGGAGGCGCTGGGGGGTTTCCACGGAGGTGGTCACTGACACCCAGAACAAACGGGAGCTGCAGGGCCTCCTCGGGCGTGAGCCGGCACGCAGGATCCCACCTGCAATGAGATGAGCGAGGGTATCGTTTGCTTCTACATCGATTTGCTTCGACTCGTCGGGAGGGGGGGATGTATATTCTTAGGTTTTTTTCGGTAAAGTCACGTAGGTAAAAAATTTAAATTAATAAAAGTTAAATTAAAATAAAATAAAAATCACGACGTTTCGGAGGCAACACAAGCTTCCGTCTTCAGGTGGAACCGTCACAGCACGATAGCTGTATCAAGTGAGAGAAATATATATACAAGGAACTGTTTTCTTGGAATTTCTCTCACTTGATACAGCTATCGTGCTGTGACGGTTCCACCTGAAGACGGAAGCTTGTGTTGCCTCCGAAACGTCGTGATTTTTATTTTACTTTTATTAATTTCAATTTTTTACCTACGTGACTTTACCGAAAAAACCTAAGAATATGAATCCTTGCAGTCACGAAAGCTTCAAATCTAGGGGGGGATGCTTCGTTTTCAATTCTAACACAAAACCGCATTTTTGGATTTAACAATGCACAAGGCCTAACACGGTCGCCCTGATGTAACACAAATCTACCCAGTCTCGGCTAAAGTTGCAACGTCATGTGTGTGTGCGTGCTTTGTTCACGATGAGTGTTGATAGGTGTCTATTTGAATTCTCATTTCCCGAGATGATTTTGTGGACAGTGATGATGAGTCTCTTGTGCAAGACATCTTTGCAGTAAATTCTAGAAATGTCCACTCGACCCCCAGACAGTTTATTTTGGAACGATAACCCTGCTATCGACGAAGCGGCGTCCCGTGTGCTGTCGTTTTCAGAGAAAAAAAGAGACCAGAACGTGTACAAGGAGTTTTGTGGCAGAAAGTGAAATGAGAGGGGTTTTTCCTGATATTGAATCGGTGAAAGCGACCCCAGATTTAATAAAATTTCATGTGCTCAATAAAAGTGGGTGGCTTCCTTTCGATATGTTTAATTTTCTTTATGCAAGTCACCCACTTTTATTGAGCACGTTAAATTTGATTAATTCTGGGGTAATTTTTTATTTATTTTACACGCTTTTATTTAACTCACTCCCGTCTGTTGTCGTATCCTTAAAAAAATATTCTAACTCAATATTTACCCACTTCCCAATGTGCTATCGACTGCAAACTTGGTATACTTATGTCATACTGATGACAAGACTATATTCTATCATATATATATTTTTAAACATTTTACACGATTTTAATTAACTCACTCTGTTGTCGTGTCCTCAAATCTTGCAACTCAATTTTAACCGTCTTCCCAATGTCGTATCGACTGCAAACTTGGTATAGGTATGTCATACTGATGACAATACTATATCCTATCATTAGAAAAATATATATTTTTAAACAATCTTATTTACGGGTCTAATTGTCCACGCTCAACTCACGTTGCCTGTAAATCACCACGGTCCCTTACACTATGGCAAGCTGCGGGGCCACTTCCTGGAATCGTGGAGTTCTGCCATTACGAGTACGGTACATTTCATTAAAGCGTGTTTTTTAAATAAACATTTTTAAATATTTTATTCTACTTTTGAGTGCAAATAAAAGTGTGCATTGAAAAATATATCTTCTTAAACCAATTTTTTTCACATTGAACTGGGCTCAATCTTTTTTGGAGTGCTCTGGTAATACAGCAGAATTTGTTTAACAAGCCTGAACCTATGGAGGCCAAAAACGGTCCAGGATTTGTTTGCTTAAATTAATGCTGCTGGATTAATATTGGCCGAGCAAGGCAAATACGCCAATGGACTAAAACTATGATAGCAGAATGGAGTTCTCGTATATATTATTTCAGAAGCATTGCATAATTTAAATATAAAATGTATATTTTTAATTCGTTGATATAAAAAAATGTATAAACAGCAAAACAGTATTCATCTCCAAGTCCATTTATTGTGAACTGCAAGCATATTTCACGCTTCCAAATTTATAAATAAATGTGTTTATTTTATTAAACGTGTTTGTGTTTTAAATGTAATCACCAATCGTATCTAAATTGTCCCATTACACGTCCAGAGTTAAATGGTGAATAATTCTCATCAGAACCTTGCGCGTCAGTAAATTACATTTAAAGATGACACGGAAAAAAAAGCAATAATTCTTCTACACTAAAAATTGCACAATTTCATGCTTTGTAAAACATCACTTGTACATGTCAATATTACAATACGAAAATGTTACCCTTGAGATAGGGCTTTGTTCCAATTATGTTCTCAATACATTTGCACGAAACATTTTTCGTAAAATAATGATTGGGGGCTTGAGACCATCAACGTTTGAATACCAAATGAAAATGTTTTTCCCCGTAATGATACAATTACTATTAGCGTCATTCGCATAGCAAATATACTGCCGCGAATGTGCCATGTTTATGCTTTGTAAGCTCTGCGGAACATTTACATCTCCTGTTTCCTGCAGAATTCGCTATAACAGTCGGTGACAAATCCCAGAGTGAATGACAAGGGCAGTACACAGTATTCCCACGTTACTCACGATTTTGGCTTTCTGCGAATCGCATCTGCAACTCAACGCGACTGCATCGAGAGGGAAAGCTATCCTATTAAGTAATGATGCAAAGCATAATTTAAAGTAAGTTAATTTATAAAGTAATTATTTAATACTTTCATTTGCACATTTATTTACTTCATGTTGATTATAACCGATTTCAGTTTTTCTGTGTTATAATTTCATGTGTTTAATAGCTTATTCGTGTATTTAAATGAGGTAATTCATTAAAAAAGGGCAGCATCATAAAAATAACTAGAAAACATAAAAAGAATCACCGCATAAACAGCTCCAATTTGGCACGCACTTAACAGGTCATGAAAACAATGCATTACAAATCTAGATTTGAAGCTTTCGTGACTGCAAGGATCCATACTCTTTGGTTTTTTCGGTAAAGTCACGCAGGTTAAAAAAGGAAAACGAAAACAAATAAATTAAATCACGACGTTTCGGAGGCAACACAAGCCCCCGTCTTCAGGTGGAAGTCACAGCAAAATTACTGGACACGAAAAATGTCTCGTCACCTGAAGACGGGGGCTTGTGTTGCCTCCGAAACGTCGTGATTTAATTTATTTATTTTCGTTTTCCTTTTTTAACCTACGTGACTTTACCGAAAAAACCAAAGAGAATGCATTACAAGTTTTTTTTTAAGACCAGAGTGAAGGAAGGCCAATAGTGATGGATGTGTAAGCTCTTGGTGAATTTGTTTGTAGATATGTGAAGACGCCCATCTGCAGGAGCTAAGAGGTGCCTGTAGGAGACAATAAAGCAAGTAGGTTGCCAACCTATCCGTGAGAAGTTTTGAGCTTTAATCCCTCGCAGATGTGTGTGCGTGTGCTTTTCTGGGTACTCCAATTACAAGCCTGTGTTCTCAATCTTCATTTTTCATATCGGATTACTTATCCCTCTCCACTCAGGGATCAAATCCCACCCACCCTCAACTCCGACACTCCACCAGAGGTGCCCAGGCACTGTTCTAAGAAGAGGGACGAAATAACTTTATAAACGATTTACAACGCGAGGAAATTTTCACAAATTGGATGCAGTGTTCAATCGAGAATTCGGGAGACGCGGCACCAGAGATCAAAGTCCCTCATGTGCCAGCTTGAACAGGTGACAGCCAGAACAGGTGACAGCCAGAAGAGGTGAGGCTTGAGCTGCTGCTTGAAGGTACATAGGTGCTTGGCTGCTGCCTATGTGCAGTGAGGAGGGAGTTCCAGATGGCTGCTGGTGCAGCTATGGGGAAACGCCGTTCACTCAAGGCGGTCCCCGGTTCTGGATACAATGAGCTGGTTGTTGGTTGAACTCCATGGGACGTGGTGGTTAGCCGTGGTTAGTGGAGTGAGGAGTGTGGGGAGAGGTATGGTGGGAGACGTTGAAAATGAACTCGGTGACACGAGTTAGCGATTCCGTATTGTATCCCTGATTTGATGGGCAGCCAGTGCAACGTTTTCCGCATAGCTATGGAAGCCATAACAACCCAGGGCAGCGCGCGACAAGTTGTTCTGAAGCCGTCATCGTTTGTCGAAGTGTTTAACTGAAGTCCGAGGAAGGATGACGAAATCGGACTGGAGGCCCCATTTTATTGCTTGCACCAGAATCAGAATATTTCTACCAGAGGAATCCAGTCCAATGAGCTATGAAGCTCTTTTTCACAGATGTTTAGTAGTGGCAGCTCAGAAAGGTGACCCCCGCCTCTCCCATCACTCCCGATGTTGTTGTTGTGTTTAGTTTGTTGTCATTCCCCCGCACCTCCGATTGGCACGGTTGGCTACATACGGTGCGAAAGAAGTTCAACATACATACACACACGCGTCACATTCCCACCTCCGGCACGACCCCCTTTGAAACAACCGCCTCCCTGTCGTGCAAACGCATGTGAGTCCGCAGGTTGGAGCGGAACGAGAAGGTCCGCCCGCACACCTCGCAGCGGTACGGCCGCTCGCCCGTGTGTGTCCGTCGGTGCTCCTTGAGGTGGCAGGTCTGGCGGAAGGCGCGGCCGCACACCTCACAGCGGTACGGCCGCTCGCCCGTGTGCGTGCGCACGTGCGTCTTCAGGTGGCAGCTCTGCGTGAAGGTTCGGCCGCACACGTCGCAGTAGTAGGGACGCGCCTGCAAGCGGGGCGGCGCCGAGGCCGGGTGGAGCCGCGCGTGGCGGAGTGCTCGCGTCGTCGCCGCCGCCGCCACTGCCGCCGCTGCCGATGCCACCGTGAAGGAGGGGCGCAACGCTGCCGGTCCCTGCAGCGACGTGACGTCCTCTATGATGAAGCCGAAGTGATTGCCGGCGTTTTCGCCTGCAGGTTTAGGAAAAGGCTGTTTATTAAGCTTTGCAATGGACAATTCCATGGCAACCTCATAGTTAAGATAAAATTCATCCTTATATCAATGGTTTGACACGTAGAAGATATTGATTGTGCCATCACACAGTATGTCCGACACCGCGGTATTTTGAGCATTTCTCTTATTAGGAAAGGTAGACATTCTATCCATCTAAATAAGTCCTTATTGGTTAATATAATATACCCAAGTTAGAATCGACATCATGATTATACTGATGACTATTCACATTTCCATAGTGTCTAAAATCTATGCCCCAAAGCCTGCCGCACGAAATTTAAAACATTTTACAATTTTGTCGTATCGTTATCGCCATTGTAAGATAGAAATATCGTAAGTCGGACCCGCGTAACTCAGGGACTATCTGTATATGTATATAACAACAAAAAAAGTGTGGTTAGAGCACATGCCTCACAATTGGATGGTTACCAGCTCAAATCCAGGCCAACTCAACTCTTCAGCCCGATGCAGTTGCTCAAATGAACACCCTTTTGGGAAGTCAACAGTAGTTTTCCTCTTCTTGGTTCTTTCGGTAAAGTCACGTAGAAGGGAAATAATGAAAGAATAAAAATAAAACATAATAAAATAAGTTGTTTTCCTATACAGTGACAACTGATTTCTATCATAATGCTGTGGAATTTCCAAAGATGACTCGATGAAGAAAGCTCTAAGATGGATGTTTGCAAAGATGCCGAGAGGCAGCAAAAGAAGGATGCTGCTTGATGACTTGAAGGCAAGAGGGTCAACACAGGAAAATGAAGCTCAAAATCAGACAGGAAGGATGGAGGGAGTTAGAGCAAAGAACCTGCCATTGTGCATGAGACTAAAGAGAGTGAACCGATGTGTTACAACCTTATTGTTTTTTGGTAATCGCCGTGTTATTGCTGTGCTGGAGAATACTCACCATACAGCGAACCATCCACGATCTCCTCCTCGTTTCTTCTGGACTGCTCCTCCTCATCATCGATGATCTCAAGACCAAGTTCCGCCACGCCCTCACTGGGAACATCACCATTCGCACTGTCCCCACAAACTTCACCACCTCCATCACCACCACCATCACCTCCCAGCCTCCGCGCAGACAACAGCAGCTCCCGGCTCAAGCCGCTGAATAGCGCGAGCAGCACTTCCACCAGCCCTCCCAGCGTCAGGTCGCCAGGGGAGGCGGCGGCCGCGTCGTCCCAGCGTGGTGTCCCGTCGCCATCGTGGGGCTCGGCGCTCCGCAGGGCCTTCACCACCTGCCGCAGCACGGCGTAGAAGCCGAAGGGCAGGCGGTCGCGCGCCGCGGCCAGCAGCTCGGCACGCACGAGGCCGTCCCCGACGCAGGCGCGCAGGACCCCGTAGTCCCGGATGCCCAGCTCCGAGTCCATGGCCCGGGCCACCTCCGCGTTCACGCCCTGCGTCTCCAGCCACGCCGGGAAGTCCCCGCTCGGTTCCAAAACAGCGGCGCAAGCCATTTCTGTTAACAAATACTTTCACTGTAATCACACTGCTCCATTTTCCACTGTTTTGTTTGCTATCACGTGTAAAGTTGCATGCTAGTTGGTGGATTATCCAGGTTGCAAATTGGGCTTGCAAAATAAAGATGAATATAAAATAGGGTATTCCACTCAATCATGCCTATTATGCATGCTGCTTCTATAATTATTAGACACTCCTAACTGCTTAGTTTAGGAACAGCCATGTCTTCCATCTCACTGTAAGTAAACAATGTTTTGTGTACAGGCTAATTGACATGTTTTGCATTATAATCTTTAGTACCCCAAATAATGGACTGAATGTAATATATTTATGACTGAATGTAATTATTACCTCGAGGAAAAAGCACAATTTTTAAATCCTTTATATTAAGTTCACTTGCGCGCTTGCTTGCTTACGACCGTGCAAATCTTTCCGTCGTTTTTTAACCCACTTCCCGTGATCCAATCGAGCTGACATTTTCCACACAGACTCGTTGTGCGTGACAATTAATGTTCGTGAAATTTTTTTTCCAAAATTTGACACTTTTTAGGACAAAAATATGATATTTAATTACCAATTGCTTAATGGCGCCATGCAATCATCTGACCCATAGGTGGCAGCCATCTCAAGCCAGAGGACGAGAGGAGTCTAGCCGCCACGCATATAAAGGATTTATAGTGAAAAACTTTGTTTTTACGGGTTATACTTGTTATCTTGGTGAAAACTGTTTTCCACCAAATATTGGCATAAGCTGCCTTTTTTTACAAACAGCTGTATCAGGCCTTGCATTTGACAAGAAATCCAGGGCCCACAGAATAAAACTCGGGTCTATACTTAAATCTTTGTCATTTGGTTTTAATTAATGCAAATTGTCAATCTACTGGCCACTGCCATGAGGATATAGATTCACCACCACTTGCTAAGGGAGGTCACGGGGAGGCAGCCCATAACTTGGGATCAAGGGACGAGGTCACGGGGGTCAGAAACCTGCAGCTCCAGAGCCACATGTGGCTCTTTTAGGACTGCTTCGTGATGTTATTCACATGCATTGTGGCTCTTAAAATATGTAGGTTTGTTTTTACCGAATTAGAACCAAAATGCCTCTTCTTGTTTTGGTTGCCGACCCCTGGATGAGGATGATAACGCAAACCGATGCAACATGATCCCCAAAAATATATATAGTACAATACCACCACGTAAAAATAAAATCCTGTCCAATAATAAACTCTCTCATCTGGGCGGCGCTTATCGACGTTTGCGGGCTCTGAACCTATGGATATTCCACATTCACTCACCGAGTTATGATACCAATTGACCTTTCCCAACACTCACTGAGGTGTTCTACACAAGGTGGTTCGTGAATTGTTGGATGCACACTTTCAAAATGTTGCATCGTAAAAGAGCTGTACTAAACTATATTTTGTATTTTACCAGGTAAGACCCACTGAGCTATAGTAAATCTCTTTTTGAGAAGCAACCTTGCCACAAATGATCACTCAACGAAGTGGCTTATCATGTGAAAATAGCTTCGCAGCCAAATAGTCGAAAGAAATGTTTCTCTCAACGTGCAGGCAAGAACAGGAAGCCCCGGCGAAAATCCATGCGACCACGGGGACAGATACACCGCAAACTCCTCCAATGATACAGTGGGCGTCAGGGTCGGGATGGAACCCACGACCTCCTGCACACCAGGCGAGGGAGTTAACATCTCGCCACCTGATATGCTCAAAGGAATAGCGGGGGGGGGGGATCCATATACAGTACTGTATTGCCAATAAAAACCAAGGTGATAACAGGACCCATTAAAGCTCAAGCCCAAATAACAATGGTACGGTCTACGATCACATCATCCGGAATGTGTCCCCGTCTTGTCAAATCTCCGAAGCTCAGCGTGCTTTGAGCCTGGATGGTGCTTTGGATGGGGGGGGGGGTAACCACCATCCACTAACAGGGCTGCTCCAAGGTTGCGCAGAGTTCGAGATGAGCAAAGATCCTCGCACCGCCGATTGGCACGGTTGGCTACATACGGTGCGAACGAAGTTGAACATACATATATATACATCTGTCGGTCTACGGAACTGCGACTCACACACACATCGACTCACACACAGACATACGTGGACTCACACACACATCGACTCACACACACACAGAGACTCACACACACATACATAGACTGACATACACATTGCCCTACACACACATACGGACTCTCACAGACATCTACTTGAGATACACACACATGGATGATCACACACATATCGACTCACACACACGTATTGACTTACACACACATGGACCCACACACACACAGACTGACACACACATTGCCCTACACACACATACGGACTCTCACACACAAGACATCCACTTTAGATACACACACATGAATGAACACACACAAATCGACTCGCGCACACACACATTGACCTACACACACACATGGACCCACGCACACACATCGACTTACACACACACACAGAGACACACACACATAGACTGACACACACATTGCCCTACACACACACACATACGGACTCTCACAGACATCTACTTTAGATACACACACGTGAATGAACACACAAATCGACTCACACACGCACTGACTTACACACACACATAGACTCACACACACACATAGACTCACACACATACACGGACTGACACACACATTGCCCTACACACACATTGCCCTACACACACACATACGGACTCTCACAGACATCTACTTTAGATACACACACATGAATGAACACACACAAATCGACTCACACACACACATGGACTTACACACACACACGCATTGACTTACACACACACATGGACCCACACACACATACATAGACTGACACACACATTGCCCTACACACACACATACGGACTCTCACAGACATCTACTTTAGATACACACACATGAATGAACACACACACATGGACTTACACATACACACGCATTGACTTACACACACATAGACTCACACACACACATAGACTGACACACACACACACACACGCATTGACTTACACACACATACACACGCATTGATTTACACACACACATCTCCGCCTTCCACCAACTCACACGGTGAAGTTATGGTTCAGTAGCCCTCGCAAACCCGACCAGACGTCGTGTGTTGGGAGGTTGGCAGGAGGCCTTCATCCAGCAGTGGATAGAACAAGGCTTGGACGTAAGTGTACGTACGATAGCAAAGAGGCAGGCGCGATAACAAATCGACACTTTATCGTCATAAGTAAAACTGCGACAAACACACAAAAAACCCATCAACACGTTTGTCAATTGCTGCATTTCGTTCATTGACACGATCGCTGCGCCGTTTGTAATAATAATATATAGAGACAAACACAATACTCACCGGTAGTTATTGTTTTTGTTTAAAGAGACTCGAATCAGCGCCGGCGATGACGGCCAACTTTGTCGGCTTTTGTTAAAACGCGCGCGGGAATTCGTTTCGTCGGATGACTTTCGCGGTCTTCCCCCCGGGGGCGGTTTAACAAACAAACACAAAAAGAAACCTCCTCCCTTCCCCACCTCTTCCTCCTCCTCTTCCTCCTACCACCGCCACCGCCGCCACCAAATCCTCGAGAACAAAACGAGATTTCACGCGGCGCACGGCGGCGGAAGTCGGCGACGCGAGACGGCGCCGGGACGGACATCTTGCTATGGGGAGAGGAGGGGGCGGGGCAGGAGGGGAGGGGGGATAGAGGGGAGGGGGGATGAGGGGGTAGGGGAGGGGGATAGGGGAGGTAGTGGAGGGGGGGTAGGGGAGGGGGGGTAGTGGAGGGGGGTAGGGGAGGGGGGTAGGGGAGGGGGGGTAGTGATGGGGGGTAGTGAAGGGGGGGTAGGGGAGGGGGGTAGTGGAGGGGGGTAGGGGAGGGGGCGTAGGGAAGCAGGGGATAGTGGAGGGTGGTAGGGGATGGGGGGTAGTGGAGGGGGGGTAGTGGAGGGGGGGTAGGGGAGCAGAGGGTAGAGGAGGGGGAGTAGTGGAGGGGGGTAGTGGAGGGGGGTAGTGGAGGGGGGTAGGGGAGGGGGGTAGGGGATGGGGGGTAGTGAAGGGGGGGTAGGGGAGGGGGGTAGTGAAGGGGGGGTAGTGGAGGGGGGGTAGGGGAGAGGGGGTAGGGGAGGGGGATAGGGGAGGGGGGGTAGGGGATGGGGGTAGGGGAGGGGGGGTTAGAGGAGTATGGGGTAAGGGAGGGGGGGGTAGGGGAGGAGGGGTAGAGGATGGGGTAGGGGAGGAAGGGGTAGTGGAGAGGGGGTAGGGGAGAGCTAGGGGAGGAGGGGAAAGAGAAAGGGGGTAGGGGAGGTAGTGGAGGGGGGGTAGGGGTGGAGGGGGGTAGGGGATGAGGGGTAGTGGTATGGGAGCGGCCAAATCGAAATCCCCACCGCTCTCGCTTCTAAGCGTTACGCGGAGGGGGGGGGGTCGTGACGGTATCGCGTTATCCCTTTAGCAAGTTTGTTTCTTTCCCCTTGTGATGGGACTTTGTAGGATAAACGTTGAGATATTTAAGTTTCACGGGGAGGTGACCAATAAGGTTTGCAATAAAGGTGGGCACCGATAAAGGGGTGCACAGGTACGAGCACCTATGACGGCTGGCACGGCACACGAAGAATCGTGGGTGGCACGGTGCACGAGAGGGCCTTGGGTGGCACGGAAACCCACATTTCGACCACGAAGACGTTGCCACCACCACCCTGCCCGCACCAACATGGCGATCGGACGCGTGCCTGTGCGTCTGTTGTTCGCGTGACACAGTCAGCCCGTGGCTTACCACAACAGAGGTTTTAAACCTTCGTTCTTAGAGGGCATTTGTTTGCAGCCAACAATGGCTTCAGAAATAAAATTGGACATCTGTGAAAAATGCTTTGTAGCAAATCGGATTCCTCCAGTGTAAATAAAGATTCTGAAAACGTCCACGGTCCGACATGGCTTGCCACAACAGAGATTTTAAACCTCCGTTCCTAGAGGGCATTTGTTTGCAGCCAACAAAGGTTTCAGAAATAAAATTGGACATCTGTGAAAAAAGCTTTGTAGCGAATCGGATTCCTCCAGTGTAAATAAAGATTCTGAAAACGTTCACGGTCCGACATGGCTTGCCACAACAGAGATTTTAAACCTCCGTTCCTAGAGGGCTTTGTTGTACATGTCACAGCCAATAAGTGCTTCGGAAATAAAATTGGACGTCTGTGAAAAAAGCTTTGTAGCTTATCGGATTCCTCCAGTATAAATACAGATTCTGAAAACGTTCACGCTCACCATGGCTTGTCGCAACAGAGATTAAAATCTATTTCTAGAGGGCCTTTGTTGCAGATGTTGCAACCAATAAGGGCTTCGTAAATAAAACTAAACATCTGTGAAAAAGAGCTGAGTCGCTCATCGGATTCCTCCAGTATAAACAACGATTCTGAAAACGTCCGCAGTCCACCGTGGCCTGCCATAACAGAGGTTTAAAACTCAATTCCGTGAGGGATTTGTTGCATATGTGTAATGACCGAAAAATAACCCCAAACCATTATACAGCCTCATGTCTATTTGAAAATAAACAAAGGTCTCCGATTGATATAAAGAGGCATCCAATGTGATTGGTCGAGAAGCAGACTTTTAAAGGGATTGGATGCAGGGGCGGTTTCTTCATTCGGGCGATTGGGCGACGCACCACCAATGTCATTCAACCACAGAGTCACGCTAGCCGTCACTGCAGCCTCTGGATATAGTCCAATCAGCGTCATGTCACGTTCTGTGGAGTACCGCCTCTTTTTGGGCGATTTCACTCCGGCTGAGAATCGCCCCGAGTGGCCCCATAGACTTACATTCAAAGATGTTTTTTTCGAACGCGGGGCGCTGCAATGCATTTTCTATGGCTTCCGGGAGGGCGAGCCCTAACGTGCTTACGTCATCATACGTGCTAACGTCATCATACGTGCTAACGTCATCATACGCAAGCACGTTTCATCCAACAATATAATATATCGCCACCTAGTGGAATCTTCTTCTTGGTTCTTTCGGTAAAGTCACGTAGAAGGGAAGTAATAAAATAATAAAAATAAAACATAGTAAAATTATTCTCACGACGTTTCGGCCACAACGCAAGTTATTCTCACGACGTTACGGCCACAACGTTCCACTCACTGGCATGGTGCAGTGTGCAGAGTAATGTATGGTGTCGTAATTGTATAGTAAATATATAGCAGTGTGATACACATTAGGGTGGGTAGAATAATACATAGTGTTATATTAAAATGGATAAGGCAGCAACTGCAGCAGCAGCAGCAACTGCAGCAACTGCAGCAGCAGCAACTGCAGCTCCCTTTGATGCTGTTAATCCTGCATAATGCACATGCATATGCAGTACTAATCACATTCCTGCATTTCCCATAAATATGCTAAATTCCTCTTGATATGCAAATTCCTTTGTCAAGGCGCCCAGCTTATATATATGCTCCAAGCTCGTGTGCTGTTTCATTCAGACTCTGTCGCCTCGACGGACCTGGTTTTCACCTGAGGACGGCTGCTTGCGTTGTGGCCGAAACGTCGTGAGAATAATTTTATTATGTTTTATTTTTATTATTTTATTACTTCCCTTCTACGTGACTTTACCGAAAGAACCAAGAAGATGAATCCCTGCAGTCACGAAAGTTTTAAATCAAAATCTAGTGGAATCTTTAATAAAATTAACTTGGGTGGTTTGTTATAATAGTGAGTATAGAAACAAACAAGATGTATTGTAAGAGTCACTTTATTTTTCATTAATATTAAAGAAGTGAAGTTGCCTTTACATGCTTAAGCTGTTAATTTATTCATTGCATGGGTGGACCTTATCCTTATCAATCATCCAGACATTTGCCCCCCCTGAGAGATTTTGCAGGAGCCGCCACTGATTGGATGAATAAGATTTTAACGAGATCAATCAGAAAACAGAAAGTATCCGTGAGAGGGGAAGGACAGGGATTGGCTAAGGGAAAAAGGACAAGAAGGTTCCAGAAAGGGGGCTCTCGGAATATAAAAAGAGGAGATCACGAGAAGTGGGGACAGTCAGAGGAAGTTACAAGCTGAAGACAAGCACAAAGCCTAGGGTCCCGTATTGTGGCTGTGCCCCAATAAAGTGGCTCTTAAAACATCGCCGTCAGAGTCATTACAGTGGTGTCAGAAGTGGGGTATTAAAGGTCGCGCTCAAGCCCCCGAAGATTTTCACCCATGATATCCGACGCCGAAGAAACCCTGAATGTCTCGGGAGAAGAGGGCATGGAAACCAACTTATAGGTTGCGGGAGAGGCAATAGCAGTGCTGGCTGAGTGGCAGCCCCAGCAGCTACAACCCCTGGAGAGCCTGCCCGCACAGATGCCGCTAGAGGGGTGAATTGACTGCCTCGCCGCCGCGGTCTCCCAGCTGGTGGTGCAGCTCGCCGCAAAGGAGGGGAGATCGGGAGCGGCAGGGAAGGGGGGAGGGTTCAAGTTTTCATACTCTCAGTTCTTTCGGTAAAGTCACGTAGGTAAAAAAAATGAAATTAAAATTAATAAAAATTAAAAAATTTTTTTTATTTTATTAATAAAAAATAAAATAATATTTTTATTTTTATTAATTTTAATTTAATTTTTTACCTACGTGACTTTACCGAAAGAACTGAGAGTATGAATCCTTGCAGTCACGAAAGCTTCAAATCTAAAGGTTCAAGTTTTGACAAAGTTTTGTGTACGTGCACTAAATAGATTGGCCCCTTATCAGTCCCACATTAACCACATCATAAAAGTGTCGTTCTTCCACCTCGGCATCATCTCCCACATCCGATCACTCATCCCTCTCTGACGCCTATCAGCTTATCCACGCCTTCATTCCATCACGCCTTGATTACTGTAACTCATTCCTTGCTGGTGCTCCCACCAATCTCCTCTCACAGCTTCAACCGATTCAAAATTCCACAGCCACTCCTCACCCGCACAAATAGCAAAGAACACAACACATTCCTGCGGAGGGAGCTGGTAGGAACGTTGGGTTGCTCGGTCAATGGCCAGGGTCAACGGCGGCGTGGTGTATTCCGCAAATATTGTCGACTGTGAGGGCGGGCACAAGCTGGCGTGAGTAGGTTAAACGTTGAGTTTTATAAGGGCACCACGGGGTGACCAGCCCCTCCCCACCCAGCCCCACCCCACCCTCTCCTCCCCACCCAGCCCCTCCCCACCCTCCCCTCTCCACCCAGCCCCACCCCTCCCATTTTTGGACACACGACGGACGGATGGACACAATAATCCCCTGTGGGCTGGTGTAACCAGGAGCTTCCTACCAGTATAACCCCTGTTTCATGCAACCTACTACCCCGGCTCACTAACAACGCCCTACATGGTGTAGGGGTGTCAGGGGAAGGATTCCCACCAATAGGAGGGGGAGTGGGACGGTGACAGGAGGAGCAAGTGAGGAGATATGGTTGGCGGGAACGAGATTGGGACGGCTGGGAACAGGTGTGGATGGGAGAAAAGAAATAAAAGACGAACCCCCTGCCACCTTGTGTCGGCTCACCTTTACAATGGTATTGCTCCTGACTACATCCGCCAACTTCTTCACTGTTACACCCGAGAACTGGCCCGACGATGTTCTGACACCAATAAACTCGTGCCTCACCACCAGCCTCCGCTCCATGGGTGACAGGATCTTCTCCTCAGTTGCCCCTAGGCTATGGAACGCACTGCCCGTTGAGATCAGATACGCTGAGTCAACCTCCACCTTCAAATCTCAATGAAAAACGAATGTTCAAAAGGTTTTACAATCTGGCTTGAATTCCCTCTACTAACCCACCATCTCTTGAATACTCTGTATGCTGCTCTTATGTTATCTAAAAATGCCAGGTTTTTTCTTGTACTATTTTTTTTGTATGTATAATATTGAACACTTTTTACTGTTCAGTAATTTGAGCATGAGAAAAGCACTATGTAACAAAATGCATTCTTATATCCCGAAGATGTTTGAATCCAATCATAGGGACGATTACCAAAAAACTCAACATATTCGTTAATAATACTGCCTTAAAGAACACAAAAATAGTCAACGTTTCTGGCAATAGCCCTTCTTCAAAGCACACATACAATCATAGATGTACAATCATTGCCAAACCTTGGACTATACCACCAATTGTTTAGTTGTCAGTTGATGAAATCTCATGGGACGCCACTTTATTTGTGCCCAAGTAAATTTTTATTGCATTTAATCTGCCGGGACAAAGGCATAGTTTAAGAACACAACGTGACACTCCAAAAACAGATTAACTTGCTTATATTAACGATTTTTTCAAATGCCCCAAACCAACTGGTAACAAACGTTCATTGCAATCTGTAAAATAATGAGAAAACATCACCACAATAAATAGTGCAGGTCGGAACACGAGGATTTAACAATACAATGTGATTTCATATAGGGAAGCTAATGGTTCTAAATCATTTAAAGGGAAGCCCCGATGTATTTGGGGTTCCCAGGGGACGTGGATGTGGTGCGCATTGGTGAATGTGCCGTACTGATGAGTTCTATTGGAAATAACCACGTAAGTCGCTGCTGTTGGTTGGCCACACGTTATTATTAAGTTGGCCTAAAACGACAAAACGGTCACACATGCTGTCATTTTGAGCTGGTGGTCTGGATAAGGCTGAGAGTTTTTGTCCATGAAATGCACATCTTTTGTCCTGTTAAATCTACAGGAAACAACTTGTAAAATTTACCACCTCAGAAAACCCCAGGGCAACATGCCATAAATTAATCCATGAGCCCTTACCAAAACGTGACTTAATTTGTAGTACCCGAGATGGAAAAGTTAAATCTTGACTTAAAGCTTTCGTGACTGCAGGAATTCATATTATTTGGGTCTTTCGGTAAAGTCACGTAGATAGGTTCAAAGAAAATAACAAAAAACTACGACGTTTTGATCGCAACACAAGCGTTCCTGATGATGAACACTAGTGTTGCGATCGAAACGTCCTAGTTTTTTTTGTAATTTTCTTTGAACCTATCTATGTGACTTTACCGAAAGACCCAAAGAATATGGCAAAGTTAGTGTGTTATAAACATCCATAACTGTACAATATTGGCCGAGGATATGGAGAAATTAAATCAGATCTTGTACAGGTGCTAGGTGGATTGTCACATCGCAGGTCCGTAGGAGTAGGCTACGATTTGGGGATCCCTTAATGCTGATAACTCGCCTTGCTGTGATATTTTTGACAATACAATAAAAAAAATCCGAAAGTACGATATCAGTTTCCCGTAACTTTATAATTGTATTCTACTTTATATAATTGTTTTATGATTTTGCATACTTCCAGTATGAACGAAATGACTGAAAAGTTAAATTCAATAAAAGCTTGCCAATAGTCTTCTAATCATTGCAACTTTACAACCTACGTAATCATGACCACGAAATAAAGGCGGAAATTTATGGCTTCATAGTTAACCCCTATTTTGTTAAGTAATCTGGAAAAAGTTTTGCAACTGTATTTGGTAATAGCTAGTTATTTCCAAATTTACTTATTAAGTGCACTGATAACTACGATAAAATATATAGTAAAATGGATACAACTGTTGTGTATCTTATACAATCTTAATGATAACCATAGATGAAATGTAGATGTAATAAACATTGACAACAATGTTGCATTTTACTCACTTCCATTGGGCATACATTGTATAGAACCAATACCTCCACTAACATTGTGCAGGGTGATGCAGATATCTCGTGATCACCAACTAATTGACCCATAAGACGTTTTTCCTATCAATTTCTGTTTTCAATACAACTTACTTAAACAATATCAAGCTTTATATAAATAAATTGGGGAGGTAACAAGACATCTAGACCACACGCTGTACAAAACCGAAACTTTTGGCCCATGGACTAAATCACATTTTTATACTAACAATTAACAAGGCATCCTGAACAACCTGACGAGCCCGTTATAGCAGACAATAGGAAACATTTACAATGATGGACATTGTAAATAATCACTGTTAAATTTAATATGAGCATGCAGGAATAGGTAATTGAATGGTGACCATGTGAATAGCAACTCTTCTTCTTGGTTCTTTCGGTAGAGTCACGTAGAATGTAAATAATAAAATAATAAAAATAACACATAATAAAATAATATAATACCGAAAGAACAAAGAAGATTAATCCCTGCAGTCACGAAAGCTTTAAATCGAAATTTAATAGCAACTCTGTTATCTTGAAGTGGCGTTTGTATGTTTTGCTGGCTGTAGATAAATAATATTAGGTGGAAGACAAACAGTGGGTGGTGTTTTTTGTAGCGTGCATAAGTGAGGAGTGATTTGACTCACAGATTGCTCGTTCATATGAGGTCTGTTACGCATTTACACTGCACCATTTAAAAACTCGCTTCCCCGCAAATTCTGGACAATGTGAAATCGCATTCAAAAACTGCAGCCGATGGGCAAATATTTTCTCTAAAATAAAGTTTAAGAAAACAATTTTTAAAAGAGGAATAATGTTACAAGCATGCTTTTTAAATCTTGTATACATTACTTGTTAAATTTGCTGAAACTTTGTCTCAAGATTAACTTTTTATACAAGAATGGAGTATTGATGGTATGGCCAGATTTTTTTTTACGTTCGTGGAGCCATTGTTACTAATTTAACATGCTCTTTTGTATTACCAAACAATTTATGTTTTAATCAGTGGTTCACAAAGTAATCTTCCTCATGTTGTTCAGAATCTTTCCAGTGTCAACACGATTAATGCCCTTCAATGTGTTTTCAGGTTGTACCGTGATTTTTGGCATGTCGTGCTGGGAACTTCAAAAACGTCAAACATGCCCAACAACGTGGTACAACCCCATAAGATTCGGAGAAGTTACTAACACAACTGTGACAACCAATGAATAATGCGTTTACACTACAACTATGTAACGCCAAAAAACATTACACTGGACAACACACTTTTTCTGGCATAAGGTATACCAACGGGTTTAAGGTAATTTTGGGGTGCTGATTCCAAATGTGGCATCAGTTTTTGTCTATCACGTCAGGTTTTTGAGATATCAAATATTGCATTTTCAATCAAAACTGCAGAAGAAAAATATAAAAAAAAATGTGGATATCTACATAAAATGATATTATAAACACACTATCCTAAAAATACAGCACCGTATTTTAACACTAAAGCAATGAAAATGGGGTATGCCGATATCATAAAAATGAGATGTGATAGAGCAAATCTGAGATCAGATTTGGAATCAGCACCCTGAAATTAGTCTAAAACCGCTGCTAAAGTCCAGGCCAGATAAAAATGTTTTTGTTGACCAGTGTTAATATCGAACAAGTGTGCCGGTGTGTATACATGGCTTATGGCAAGTTTGTGGAAAGAAACACTATCTGGTCGAGTAACTTCTGGTCTCTGTCTGTTCTAGGACCGTTGCTACCGCTGTTGCTGCTGTTGCCAGGCCGAGGTAAGGCCGGGGTGGAGCTGCTCGCCATGGCCGGGATGCACAGGCATGCACGGGCAAGCAGGGCGAGCACAGGGAAGCGTTGCTCGGCGAAGCGCCACCACATCAGCGGGCAGCTGCTCATGTCTGGAGGGGGCTCGTGCAGGTACATCTCCAGCTCCACGGCAATCTGCACAACATGAACATGCAGACATCTGCTTATTTTTCACTGGGGATAAATGTGAAGGTAAATTACAGCATGCCCTTTCCAAGTAGTTGATTAGTTTATTATTTAAAGTAGTATAAGAAGGTAATAAGTAATATTTAAAAATACTTTTTTTGAAACACGCTTTAATGAAATGTACCGTACGAGTTATGGCAAAACTCCACGACTCCAGGAAGTGGCCCCGAAGCTTGCCATAACGTAAGGGACCGTGGTGATTTACATCCAATGTCAGTTGAGCGTGGACAATTAGACCCAAGCCGAAACATAACATATAAAAAATATGGTTTGAAAAAACACATTTTTTAATGATAGAATATAGATTGTCATCAGAATGACATAAGTATACCAAGTTTGCAGTCGATAGCACATTGGGAAGTGGGTTAAAATTGAGTTACAAGATTTGAGGATACAACAACAACAAGACAGATTGAGTTAATAGAAAGTGTGTAAAAAGATTGTTTAAAAATATATATTTTTTATGATAGAATATAGTATTGTCATCAGTAAGACATAAGTATACGAAGTGTGCAGTCGATACCACATTGGGGAGTGCGTTAAAATTGAGCTACAAGATTTGAGGATAAGACAACAACAACAGAGTGAGTTAAATAAAAGCGTGTAAAAAACAAAGTTTCAGCAAGCCTGTCCAAGCAGTCTGAAAAACAAAGTTATACCATGGAACAATTTATCAATTAATATTTTATATTTTGTTAATTATATCTGCATCGGATAATTAGTATAATAATAAACGATATATGATTAATACAAGTTATCCACAAACATCTACATTTCCTTTTTAGGTCACAGTATGAATAATACTGCTGACAAAAGACAATACAAATGAAAATACAATCCTTGTCATTGAGTTGAATCGCAAATCAAGATTGCATAATGATTTGTCAGATCATAGAGGGAGAGTGAATTGTCACCTGCCCAGTATGCACACACATCAGCCTGATTAATACTAGCCTATTGTAGCGCTGATCCAAGCCCAAGCATGGGACCTTCCCCCGCACCTCCGATTGGCATGGTCGGCTAAGTACAAAATCTTGACTTAAAGCTTTCGTGACTGCAGGAATTCATATTCTTTGGGTCTTTCGGTAAAGTCACGTAGATAGGTACAAATTAATAAAAATAATAAATATACAATAAAACTATGATGTTTCAATCGCAACACAAGCGATCGTCATCAGGAGGAAAGAGGGGAAAAGCTGCTGAATGCAGACTGTTTTATAGGGTGTAGTCCTAGTGGGCGGGAATAGTGCTGTTAATGTCAGAAATTAGCATGTTAATCACCATTGGAACCTCCTTTGCCAAGAGCAAAATGTGATAATTGTTTTTTTACCCTTTTATCTGGCAACAAAACTGACACTTTTTTTTACAAGGAGTCATGTTTGCATAGGCCACAATACCTGCGGTCGGAATGCAAACAAAAAACACAACTCTGATAATGTATGCACTGTCCTTGAAATTGATTGGTCCACACCTGAGACAGCTTTTCTTAGAGCCTAGTCTCACATGGTGTTGGACCAGATGACAATCCACCAAAAGGCGCCTTTTGCATTCCGACCGCAGGTATTGTGGGCAATGCGAACATGACTCCTTTTAAAAAAAGGTGTCAGTTTTGTTGCCAGATAAAAGGATAAAAAAACAATTATAATATTATTAGCATGTTAATGTTAGATCGCAGAGCCACCGCGACGTAGTGGTTGGCATCTGGAGGTGGCCACGTTGGCGCGAGAAATTCAACCTGTTAATGTGAAATCGGAGAGCCGAAGCCACGGGGAAGGGAAGGGAAAAAAATGTTTACATCGGAAGGTGGCAGGATGGGATCATCACAGCCAGTTATGACTTAAACTGGTTGATGACGTCTTTCCCATGATTGCTGAGTTTATACCCATACTCTCGGTTGAAATTGTATCTGTATATATGGATGGCTTCATGAACGAATCTTTGTTGATAGCCAGTGGGCATACAAAGTACCTTCGTCTTAGAGAAATCTATTTCGTGTGAGCCAACCGCATTAAAATAATGATCAGCCACGGCCAACGTGTTGGTCCTACCGTGTTTCAAATCTGCCTTATGCTCACGAACACGGTCTGAGACATTTCGCTTAGTTTCTCCAGTGTAACTACTGCCGCAGACACAGCTTAGTTTGTAGACGCCAGGATCTTGTGTTTGCTCAAAATTTTGGAAATCTTTTTGGTGATCCCTGCTATGTATGGCAAGGTGATGGTTTTGATTTGGTCCTCAGCTTACTTGGTATCCTTAATTTAGGACATCTCACTATCTCCAGGTGATTTGCTCGTTAGTTTCGATGTAGTTTCTTTGTTCACCAAAGTTCCTGTGCCCGACACCATTGCAATTATTGAATATTTAGTCCAACATGGATTGAATGCTGATGTACCGACCCTGGTTAGACACTGCCTCACCAATACATACTTCACCTGGAATGGAACATTTTATAAACAAATTGAAGGCACCCCAATGGGTTCTCCCTCATCTCCGGTTGTAGCCAATGTTTTCATGGAAAATTTTGAGACAGACGGCATCCAGACATCCATTCTACGTCTGTCCTTGTGGAAGAGGTACGTAGATGACACATTCGTCATCTGGCCACATAGCCGACCAGCTCTGAACCAATTCCTAAACCACATTAATTCCATACACCCAGCCATCAAATTCACCATGGAGGTGGAAAAAGGATGGCAAGCCACCATTTTTGGATGTTGTAATCGAAAAGAGACCAGATGGCTCAATGGAAGGAAAGCAACTCATACGGATGCCTACCTAAAACCTGACTCCCACCACCATCCATCTCAGAAGAATTCCCTCATCATAACTCTACACCATAGAGCTTGATGCATCTCCGACCATCATCACCTAGCCAGTGAACTAAACATATGCACCAAGCTCTCAAGATGAATGGATATTCGTACCACACAATCCGTAAAGCTACCACCCCAACCGTTGGGAAAGAACCATCTGAGGACCCAATCAAATTCATCACATTGCCATACATAGTAGGGGTCACCAAAAATATTTCCTAAATCTTGAGCAAACACAAGATCCAGGCTCGATTTAACACAGTACATAAAATTCGTGACCTGATCCCATCTGTGAAGGATAGGATCCCTAAAATGCAATACCCTGGCGTCTACAAACTAAGCTGTGTCTACGGCAACAGTTACATTGGGGAAACTAAGCAACATGTTTCGGACCGTGTTCGTGAGCATAAGGCATATTTGAAACACGGCAGGACCAACACATCGGCCGTGGCTGATCATTGTTTTAATGCAGTTGGCTCACATGAAATAGATTTCTCTAAGATGAAGTTACTTTATTTGCCCACTGGCTATCAATAAAGATCCGTTTATGAAGCCATCCATATATACAGACACAGACACAATTTCAACCGAGAGGATGGGTACAAAATCAGCAATCATTGGAAAGACGTCATCAACCAGTTTAAGTCATAACTGGCTGTGATGTTCCCATCCTGCCACCTTCCGATGTAAAAAAAAAAATTCCCCGTGACCACTAAGTCGCGGTGGCTCTGAGATCTTACATTAACATGCTAATTTCTCACATTAACATGCTAATTTCTCACATTAACATGATGAGCCCCACCCACTTCGTTTATGACCTTTGGACTCCACCCTATAAAACAGTCTGATTTCAGCAGCTTTCCCCCTCTTTCCTCTTGATGACGATCGCTTGTGTTGTGATCGAAGCGTCGTAGTTTTATTTTATATTTATTATTTTTAACAGGACCCTGCGGGGTGGGAAGGTAGGAATAATACTAATACCGGTACAGGGATATCGACCGGGTATAGAGGAGTTAAAAATAAAATGAGTTGTGCATGGGGGGTGAGCGATGACGTCCACACCCCCCTCCCCACTGACCCGCGCGCCCACAGAGCAATGACGTCAACACCCCCCTCCCCACTGACCCGCGAGCCCACAGAGCAATGACGTCAACACCCCCCTCCCCACTGACTCGCGCGCCCACAGAGCAATGACGTCCACACCCCCCTCCCCACTGAACCGCGAGCCCACAGAGCAATGACGTCCACACCCCCCTACCCACTGACTCGCGCGCCCACAGAGCAAGGATTGCAACAGGCGATGTCATTGGCTGCGCCGGATGCGACGGCCATCTTGTTTTGTTCATTTAGTTCACGGATCGCAGGGGGAGCGGGCGGCCATCTTGTCGGACAGACGGACGGCCTCGCGAAGCCTGTCGCAGTAGGCCTCGCGAAGCCTCCTGCACTAGGCCTCGCGAAGCCTCCTGCAGTAGGCCTCGCGAAGCCTTCTGCACTAGGCCTCGCGAAGCCTTCTCTGCAGTAGGCCTCGCGAAGCCTTCTCTGCAGTAGGCCTCGCGATGCCTTCTCTGCAGTAGGCCTCGCGAAGCCTGCTGCACTAGGCCTCGCGAAGCCTTCTCTGCAGTAGGCCTCGCGAAGCCTTCTCTGCAGTAGGCCTCGCGAAGCCTTCTCTGCACTAGGCTTCGCGAAGCCTTCTCTGCAGTAGGCCTCGCGAAGCCTTCTCTGCAGTAGGCCTCGCGATGCCTTCTCTGCAGTAGGCCTCGCGAAGCCTGCTGCACTAGGCCTCGCGAAGCCTTCTCTGCAGTAGGCCTCGCGAAGCCTTCTCTGCAGTAGGCCTCGCGATGCCTTCTCTGCAGTAGGCCTCGCGAAGCCTGCTGCACTAGGCCTCGCGAAGCCTTCTCTGCAGTAGGCCTCGCGAAGCCTTCCCTGCAGTAGGCCTCGCGAAGCCTTCTCTGCAGTAGGCCTCGCGATGCCTTTTCTGCAGTAGGCCTCGCAAAGCCTGCCGCACTAGGCCTCGCGAAGCCTGCCGCACTAGGCCTCGCGCCGTGCTTTTCGTGCACAAATAAGGCGATTAAATGTATCTCGTCTCTGTGTTAATAAATGTATCTTGTCTCTGTGTTAAAAAAACGTGCTGCGTTTCAGTAAAGTAAATTTGAAGCGAAGTTTAAAGTTTTGCCGTGAGGCGCCGGAAGCGACGGCCATCTTGTTTAGTTCACAGATCGCAGGGGGAGCGGGCGGCCATCATGTCGGACGGACGGACGGACACATTAATCTATTGGTGGTCTGGTCCACTTCGTTCCTACCAGTATTAATTTGTACCTATCTACGTGACTTTACCGAAAGACCCAAAGAATAAGTACCTAAAGAAGTTCAACATACATACATACATACTAGCCATGTGTGTGTGTGTGTATGGGGTGCGTGTCGTGTACCTGCTCGGGCAGAGTGCGGTGGAGAGCATTCCCGCTTTCTTTCTTGAAGATGCTTTTGAGGCCGCTGGCTGGAGGGATATTGGCCCCAAGACCAAAGCTGCTGGGTCTAATATCATTGGCCGTGGCCTGGCCCGGTGCGACGCTTGAACCGGTAGGGGTGAGCTCAGGCCTCCCGTCCCCCACAAGCCATGCTGACATCACCTTGTTCATTTCGTCCAGGGCCAGCGGAAGCACCTCGGCCACGCCGGCCATGGGAAAGCTGCGAAACCTGCAAGGTTGGATCGAGGAGAAAGCATAGGAGCATTTATACAGATTTTGGATGCGCAGATTTAGATGTGGCGTAGTGGCTCATAATGGACTTGTCATCGTAAACAGTCAGCACGACTAAGATACCGGGTTTAAACTAAACTATTTTTTATTTTACCAGATAAGGCACACTGAGCTTTTTCAGAAGCCATGAATGATAGCTCAATAACATTTCTAGCAGCCAAATAATCGAAATGCATGTGGCTAAATGTGGAGGGAAAAACCGGAGGACCAGGAGAAAAATTCACGAGACCACGGGGTGAACATGCAAACTCCAAATATACAAGCGTCAGGGTCAGGATCGAACCCACGACCTCCTGTATACCAGGTGAAGTAGTTAACATCTCGCCATCTGGGTTTTAGCTACCTGCTGTTAAACTGAGTTTTAAAGTGGAGAAAAGTTGATGTCTTATCCTGGTAACCAATGTGCACAGACTTAAAAGGCGACAACTCAAACACAAATAGGTGTGGATATATACCAAGACAGTTTGTCATCTGTCTGACACGAGTTTAACGGTTTATTGGCACTGCATTAAATGGTCTTGTGATATTGGTGTCATCACAAAAGTCCTACAATTATGTGCTTTACCTAACTTTACATTTACATACATACCATTCAATGCATCTATCGTGAGTATGGGGTTGCTAGGAAATTTCCCTTTGAATTCAGTTAATCGAGTTTGAGTTCTGGCACAGGCTAACAGTGGCGAGCGATATTTGAAACGGTCCTGGGTACCCACTTCACCAACCCTCACTGACCAGAATGGCAAAGTATGATAAAACCACAGATGTCCACATAGTGTGGTAAAGGGTTCATCCAGCAGTGGTTTGACAAACAGCTGAAATTAATATCATTAGTATAGGAATAAATTTGAATAAAAAAATCAATGAATGATTAATGTATTTTTTCAACATTTTTTTTGCAAAAAAGTTTGTACTTGCATGGATTTTTTAAATGCTTTCTATGATGCGGTTCTGCTCAGAAGTATTAATTAAAATTTATGTCAGCTTATGAGCCGCACAATGATGTCACAATGGTGAAGCGAAGCACGTACACTGGCCACAAAAGGCTAATCTATTTAGCCCTGTTTTTTATCACCAAGTTTTGGGCAACCCTTTAATCAATTTAGCCACTTTTCTATAAGGTAAGTCCTTAACATCAATGTATCCAAAAAATATATATTGCAAATATATTGCAGCTAATGCATGAACGCTTTAAACCTCAGCTGGAAAGAATTAACAAAGGAGATGTAAGATAAACATTTTCAGCATATCCCCTGCGGTGTGCCTATCTGCAGACACCAGTGGGGCTTGTCGGTGGCACCTGGGGTCGAGGATGGTGCACAGTTGCAGGAATTTGGCGGTGTCCACGCGATCAGTATACAATATGCTTAGGGAGTGGCAAATGGTAGCCTTGAGGCACAGGCTCATGGGTGTGTCCCAGTGCTCTTCAACGAGGATGCCCTTGACGTGCTGCAGTAGTGGCTCCATCGCCGATGCAGGCACGTGGGGCTCGCACGCCAACTCCACCACAAATCGACGCAGGGCCTGAAGCACGAGGACTACTGACTGCAGGGAGTCCAGGTCCTGTGTGCGAGGCAGATATATTGGGGATATTTTTTTTCAATCACAGTTAAATTATAAACTACTTAAAACTATTTTTTATCTTACCAGGTAAGGCCCACTAAGCTATGTAGCTCTTTTTTCAGAAGTGACCTGGCCACAAATGATAGCTCAACGAAGTAGCTTATCACGTGGAAATTTAAAGCAGCTATAGACGAATTTTGATTCTAAATGTGGAGGGAAAAACCAGAGGACCTGGAAAAAAAATCCACACCACCACGGGGAGAACATGCAAACTCCAAATATATACAGGCGTTAAGGTCGGGATATAACCAACGGCCTCCTGCGTACCAGGTGAGGGAGTTAACATCTCGCCACCATGGCGCCCTTTTGAGGGGCACCTTTGAGCCTGTGCTCGGTTTGTGAGCTGCATTATTACTCTCCTAGCTCTTTTACAATTTCAATGCATTGATGTCACTGGAGTGTTATAATAGTGCCTTGCCACGATTTTTTTTGTTTCTTTTTTTTCTATTCAGGCTTATAGTGGATAGCCTGAGATACACAGCCCAGACACTAGGGTTGCCACCTGTCCTGGTTAATAATAACCACAACCTCTATAGCGCCATATCTCAGCAAGTCCTCCTTTTGAGGTAACTATCCTGGGAAATCGGTATGTCTTCTATAGGCATTAAAAGTTTCAGCTTTTGTCAGCTGCATGAGAATACACCACTAAAGAAAATGCATTTTACAAGTAATTATCCCCTCTTACAGTATTGTGAGATAGTTTTATTCACAGAATGTCCCACTATTTTGTACTTCAGAGATGACAAACCTATCAGGCATGCATGTAGCAAATAACAATAAAAATTCGCGGCTGCATATTCCTTTAAATCCCACAATCAAAACACCTTCCTACCTGCAAATCCAGCAGCGGTAACTGCTCCAAATTGCTGCTAGAATGCGAATCCAAGGGACTTGTGTAAATGTGATGCATCTCCTGCAGCAGCTCTAGAGTTTCGATCCAACTTGACATGTGCTCCTCTCTTTCCAGCCGGCCCTGTGTGGGTGCCGAGCGCAAGCCCGCAAATTTTCTTGCCACAACCTTGCTGGCCTCAACCAAATTCTGCAGCCGCATGCCGTTCAGGCCCTTGTGAATGGCCAGGCTCAGGCACCAGTTGACGCAGGGCACAAAGTAGCTGCCGTGCAAAGCACATGTATTGACTATGTCGCTTGTCAAGTCCGTAGTGAAGGCCACCATGTTCTTGGCTTTGAGCCTCCAGACCATGAGAACGTGTTTTAGCACCGCATCCAGTTCCTCTGTCCTAAGGCCACTTGACGAGCAGTGTTCCTCATGGAGCCAGCACCTGTGCATATTCCAGTTGACATCTATGTAGTGCACCATGAAGTACATGTGCACCTCACTCTCAATCTTCCTAGTCTGAGCGATCATGGCAAACAAGCCCGTGCAGTCCTTGTGCAGTATTTCCAAAAGGTTTTGGAATATCTCATTGTAGACTCTGGGCAGCACCACTTTGGAGAAGAAGCCAACGTCAGGCAGCTTGTAGGATGAGTTGAGTACTTTGAGCATGTGCTTGAAGCCTGGCTTCTCCACAGTGTTCAGTGGCAGGTTGTCCTTGGTCAGAAAGTAGATCACACTCTCCGTGTACTTCCTGTGCTCTGGGCACCATGTGCTGGGAATGATCCCTGTGGTCGTTGTTACAGAGTTGTACATTGAGTCTGTAGAGGACAGGGCTACTGAGCCCTGTGTAAAGCCCTCATTGTTGTTGTCCATTCTGATGCACCCTAACTCCGATTCTGAGGTGGAACGGTTGTCCATGTCCTCCCTTGTGTCAGTGGCGTTGACGATTGGGTCAGTACTCGAGATTAATTCCGTGGCAGTTGAAATGCTCTCATCATGAGATTTTTCTATGACCCACACAACAAAAGGGGTACAAATAAGTAAAAAAACCAAAATGTCCCTTGCTCAGGCAGTGGGTAGAGCTAAAAGCAGTGGTGAAAATTACGTATTCATGTGACAAGGCAAATTATTTTTTTCTTGTTTGTAAACTTTTAAAGTGAATTAATAGTTTTCAGAAGAATGTATACTTTATCATATTAGTTACGTCCAACACTTTACCAATTTTACCAACGTCATAATTGTGTATTTTGTTAACTGTTATTACAATTAGCATTTTCAGATATGTTGGTTTAACACCGATGCACATACTTGGTAGTATAAAGTTTATCAGCATAGTTTTCATACCTGTCAACCCATACAGTTTACCCGTTTTCTTGTACTGTACAAGGAAATTGAGTTCTTAGGTCCATACAGCATACAGCCGTTTCAATACGGGCATCATTTTTTGTCTATTTGTTTGCGTTTCTCCCTTGTGATGGTATTTGTAGGATGAACGTTGAGATTTTTAAGGGCATGGGGTGACCAATAGGGTCTGAATTGGTCTGTAATAAGGTAGGCACCGATAAGGGTTTGACATGTACAAGTTTTATCTATCTACACCTCCACATGTCTATCATGAATTGAGTCTCAGGTATTCACCAACATCTCAGGTTTTATTGTGTCGAATGCTTCTGTTATGTGCTGTTGAAGATCACCCAATATTTAAAAAAATGAAAGTATAACTTTAAAAAAGTATATAACGAATACGTTGCAAACATTTCAGCCGCATAGTTCAAATTGCTGTCGATTTACAATTACTTAACAATACCGCAGACACCTTTATGGATATGCTGTATTATAATTTACAAAGTCGGAAAGTGAGTGCATTTATAACGAGAGCTATCTAACACTTCCTGTTACTGACCTATGTCAGACTCCAAGATAACCACGCTAATGCTGTGCTCTTGGCGTAGCTCAACCACTCCTGTGCTTAATGAGGCACATAAGACATTGCCACGACTCACTGTAGCCTTTGAATTGCCGTGGCCTGTTATACGTGTTAAGAACGGTAAAAAATTTGATTCAGCTAGTAAATAAATTGAGGCAGACAAGGAAATCCATAATAAAGGTTTTTTGGGTTAGACCGCATCTATATATATAAAATCGTTCATGTCTGTCTGTCTGTGTGTGTGTGTGGACTTTGGCCCATACGCACTTTCATTGGACGGCGGTTGCCCCTGGCAACGGCTAGCCACGCCTTCGCCGCTTTCATTGGACCTGGCAACGGCTAGCCACGCCTTCGCCAAGGGCTGCAGTTTCATTGGACGGCGGTTGCCCCTGCCAACGGCTAGCCACGCCTTCGCCACTTTCATAAGCTCCGTATTTAATTAAATAATAGCCATTACACAGTATTGTTGGAGCGCTAGGGGGGGGGGAAGGAACGCCACCCGTACCCTGCCTCTTCCAAGCCGACAATTTTAGGCGAGGCCGCAGGCTTTGCACGCTACTAGGCCTCGACACCCACCACGCCACTCTGAGGTAAATTCATCAAAGTTTTTCCTACTCTTCACTACACCCCCACCACAATGTGTGCTATTAATATTACTTTTAAACCCAACGCGCCAACAATCGATTACTTTAATGTTCACTGTACAAATACTCATTAAGCTGGGTGAGCGTACTGCCAGTCTATCATGTACACTGTAGCCTGCTTATTAAGCTCGGTGAGCGTACTGCCACTCTATCATGTACACTCTAGCCTGCTTATGAAGCTGAGTGCGTGTACTGGCAGTCTATAATGTGGACTCTTGCCTGGTTATTATAATCGATTCTTTATATGTTCTTTGTACAAACAGTCATTAAGCTGCTTGAGCGACCCCAGTTCGATTCCAACTCACGCCCACCACCGCTGACGATTATTTGAAACGGACCTGGCCCTCCCCTAGGTCCACTCAGCCTCAAAAGCGTAACTGCTGTCGTGTGTGAACATCGTCACTGGGGAGACAAAGGCGGCGGGGCATCGTGGATCCAAGTCCCGGGCGAAGCCGGGTCATGTGTATGTGTGTTTGTGTTTATGTGTATGTCTGTGTGTCTCTATGTATGTGTGTATGTATGTGTATGTATGTGTTTGTGTGTATGTGTGTGTGTATGTATGTGGGTTTTTTTATGTCTTTATGTGTATGTCTGCGTGTCTCTATGTATGTGTGTATGTACGTGTGTGCATGTGTTTGTGTGTATGTATGTGTGTGTCTATGTATGTGTGTGTCTATGTATGTGTGTGTATGTATGTATGTGCGTTATGTGTCTGTCTGTGTCTGCATGTATGTGTGTGTATTGTGTATGTGTTTGTGTGCATGTATGTGTGTGTTTGTGTGTATGTGTATGTCTGTGTGTATGTGTTTGTGTGTATGTGTGTGTATGTATGTGTGTGTATGTGTTTGTATGTGTTTGTGTGTTTACGCTCGCATTACACAAATGTGTTGCTGGTCTAAGGCGTTCCTCGCACAGCATTGCCGCTTTATTATTTCAGTCGTTTACTGCCTTACGCACCCTGAAAGTCGTGTGTGTCTGCAGCAAGCGCGTGTATGTGTACCTATGGACGCGCGCGCGTGTGTTGTGTAGGGGGAACGGTAGTGTAGTGCTTAGCGTGCTGTCTGTGTCTGTGTGTGTGTGTGTCTGTCTGTGTCTGTCTGTGTGTGTCTGCGTGTGTCTGTGTGTGTGTCTGTGTGTGTGCGTGTGTGGTGTGTGGGGAGCGGTAGTGTAGTGCTTAGCGTGCTGTCTGTGTGTCTGTGTGTGTGTGTGTCTGTCTGTGTCTGTCTGTGTGTGTCTGCGTGTGTCTGTGTGTGTGTCTGTGCGTGTGTGGTGTGTGAGGAGCGGTGGGTGTAGTGCTTAACGCTACGCTGCGCTACCAACCCGGCGAACCCAGTTCCATTCCCGCTCACGGCCACCACCGGTGACGATTATTTGAACCTCCCCTAGGTCCACTCAGCCTCAAACGAGTAACTGGTGTGGCGTATTAACATCGTCACTTGGGAGACAAAGGCGGCTGGGCGTGGTAGATCCAAGTCCCGGGCGAAGCCGGGTCATGTGTATGTGTTTATGTGTATGTCTGTGTGTCTGTATGCATGTGTGTATGTATGTGTGTGTATGTGTTTGTGTGTATGTCTGTTTGTGTATGTATGTCGGTTTTGCCACCGTGGTGGATCCAAGTCCCGGGCGAAGCCGGGTCATGTGTATGTGTTTATGTGTATGTCTGTGTGTGTGTATGTATGTGTGTGTATGTGTTTGTGTGTATGTCTGTGTGTGTATGTATGTCGGTTTTGCCGCCGTGGTGGATCCAAGTCCCGGGCGAAGCCGGGTCATGTGTATGTGTGTATGTGTTTATGTGTATGTCTGTGTGTCTGTATGCATGTGTGTATGTATGTGTGTGCATGTGTTTGTGTGTATGTATGTGTGTGTGTATGTATGTGTGTGTATGTGTTTCTGTGTTTGTATGTGTGTGTATGTATGTGTGTTATGTGTCTGTCTGTGTGTCTGCATGTATGTGTGTGTGTATTGTGTATGTGTTTGTGTGTGTTTGTGTGTTTACGCTCGCATTACACAAATGTATAATGCGGGTCTAAGGCGTTCCTTACACACCATTGCCGCTTTATTATTTCAGTCGTTTACTGCCGTATGCACCCTGAAAGTCGTGTGTGTCTGCAGCAAGCGCGTGTATGTGTACCTATGGACGCGCGCGCGTGTGTTGTGTAGGGGGAACGGTAGTGTAGTGCTTAGCGTGCTGCCTGTGTCTGTGTGTGTGTGTCTGTGTGTGTGTGTCTGTGTGTGTGTCTGTGTGTGTGTCTGTGTGTGTGCGTGTGTGGTGTGTGGGGAGCGGTAGTGTAGTGGTTAGCGTGCTGTCTGTGTGTGTGTTTCTGTCTGTGTGTGTCTGCGTGTGTCTGTGTGTGTGCCTGTGTGTGTGTCTGTGCGTGTGTGGTGTGTGAGGAGCGGTGGGTGTAGTGCTTAACGCTACGCTGCGCTACCAACCCGGCAAACCCAGTTCGATTCCCGCTCACGGCCACCACCGGTGACGATTATTTGAACCTCCCCTAGGTCGACTCTGCCTCAAACGAGTAACTTAACTACTGTAGCGTATTAACATCGCCACTGGGGAGACAAAGGCGGCCGGCCGTGGTAGATACAAGTCCCGGGCGAAGCCGGGTAGTACAGCTAGTAAATATATAAATGTATCGTTAAAACCCGCCACCACCCGACACTGCCAACTAGTAAGGGGTTGTGACGTTAACAGAACATGCCAATTCGTCACTAGAACAGTGACGAATATAAATCCATGTTACAGTTTTTCTTCAGCACATTGCACACTTAGCTGCTGTTTTATCTTCAGTTTTTTCTTGAAATGTTGTATTAAACTCATGTGATCTCATCACATGCAATCATGAGATAATGAAGATGTGATATTAAATATTTTCTTATAAACCTGTTGTAAGGGCACTTTGTCCATGTCACAATCATTAAGTAATTTAATGTATAAATAAATCCTGCACCTCGGCTACACATAGGGTGCCAAGGAAGTTCAACAAACATATATACTATTGTTACGGGTAACATTGTTTCAAAGCCGCATTTTTTAAGTAACATTCAAACACATCTTTAAACGAGTTACTCCCAGCATGTGGATTCTCACATTGCAGTTCAATTATTATCATTTTCAATTAGTACCTCGGTTCCATGAAGAGAAAGAAATCTACATTTCCACTCAGCCCAAATTCTTACAAAGGATTCAATCCGACCTGAGAAGCGAAATCATAACATCTATTTGACAATCAGTGACGTCTTTCAAGTTGTTATTTCTATATCAATCAATTATTTCTTTCTATAGCACTATTTCGTGCAAAGGATGCCATTCAAAGTGCTTCGTCATACTTGCCCACAGTTTAACACGTAGGCTTTCGCGACCAATATTATTCATAATCAACCCATACAGAGTGGGATAAGCCAAATCATTGCCCGATGCTGCTGGATGCAATTACCAGAGAAACGTCGTACTCAAAAATTGTAAATTTTGTGGTTTCATGCTTCAACACACCGGTGGGCTAAAGTGATCTAAACCCAAAAATGTCGCCCACCGTGTTATTGGTAAACATACACGGCTTAAAATTACATCAATGGCAGTGTTCTATATTGCAAGGCCCGCGGGCCATTGGCGACCCGATGACCTTTAGTGGACCCCTGACGTGTGGTCCCCAACAAGACACAAATGTGAAAACACCCCTTCATTCTGTGAAACCCAATGGTTTCAAATTTGTGGCGACCCTCACACTGATGCCTTATCTACAAGTGGTCCCTCTCGGAAAATTAGTGAAGAACGCTTATATAAGAATTGAGTGTAGGCTAACCTAAGCCAGGGCGAAGCAGTGGTGAAGTGGTTAGTGCACAAGGCTATGAACCCAGCAACCTGAGTTTGATTACCACCAGGACTTACATCAAGTGATGGTGATGTCTTAACCAGTCCTGGGTCTCCCCCTTCACCAACCCACATTGACCAGCAATGTGGGTTGGTGAAGGAGTGGTTTACCTAAAAAATGTAAATGAACCTAAACTGAAGCCCGTGTTAAATATATTTTAAAGATTGTTTCCCAATTACAACCCTCAACTATGAAGGGTAGGCAGAGGGAGTCAATGGAAGGTGACAGAGTGGGAGAAGCCAAATCATTAACTGTGGGAAAACAGATCTGAGCCATACTGCTGATCCCATAACAGACTGTTCTTGGCCCCGAGTCCTGTTACAATGGAAACATCACAAATAATACCCATCGCTGTTTGTAAGCACCTAGTAGGCACATGATGGGGTGGTATTGCTGCACCACATCCAACCACTAACTTGTCTAGCAAAGTGATACTAACCGCACCACACACTACTTATGTTATGCTAAGTCAACCTAATGGCTATATAAAGTTTATATACAAGTTGTCATCAATGTACAAGTCCAGAAATCGAATCAGGTCTGACTACCTAACCGAACCCAAACCCGCTTCAACGACATCTTACACACAAACCAACCCGATCCACTTTCATGAGACCTACAACCCGAGAGAAACGTCCAAATGATACTTTCAATTCAATTAATCTGTTTGCATGCTATGTTATTCTCGCAATGTGACACCACCTTAGTGACAATAAATCTGCGCTTTTCCCGGCAAAAATGGTGTTAAAGGCACCTTTATAGCACAAAGAAGCATTCAATTATTATATAATGTAAATATTCCAGAAATCATAAAAATAAACAGAAATTGTCCTTAAAAACTGATTTTAGAATCCAAAACCTAAGCCTCACACACATATGCATGGACACATTATGTGAATACCAATTAAAATGATATAAAATACCGGCATTACCGGTGGTAGTGGTGGATGTAGAAACAATACATCTGACACTGGGAAGTTTGTTTTGCTGGAAGAGTTTCTGGGGGGTGGATTTTGAGCACAAGGTGAGAACCTGATCTTGCTTTTCATGAACTCCACACATTGCCAAGGTATGTTGGTCACCTGCACGTACAAAGCACATAATGCACAAGCATTAGCCTTCAAAGCTCTCGTCAGCTCACTCCTGATGTTGCAAAAAATAAATGATTATTTAAATATAACGTATTTTGAAATAAAGTCACGTGATACACTTGACTGTGCAACGTGCTGTAATCCAGCACATTACATGTTTCTGTATGTATGTTGAACCTCTTTCGCAACGAAAGTAGCCAACCGTGCTAATTGTAGGTGCGGAGGAAGGATAAAAAAGTTAAAACAAAAAAAGTTCTATAGAATTTCGTTTCTAGTCTACATTTAAAAGTGCATAGCTCCAGTGGTTTCCTACTATCGTTAGAGCATTCCAGATGGCCACAAATGCGCATCTAAAAACGCGTGATGCGGCGACCATCTTTGTTCGATGGTTAGTCAAAAGCCACTGCGAGAATAAACCGGAGTTTATGATGGTTTATGCTCCTTGACGAGAACAGAAAGGTATTGTGGTTCATTAGTGGCAAGCACTTTGTGTAATAAGTGCAACCTTATGTATTAATTTGGCAAATGAAAACATTTCACACTCCCAGCCTGAAGAGCTACAGTCGCCAGTATATGGTAGTACAGCAAATAGGCTGATGACCCAGCTACTGTATATGTACATTTATTATATCCTCACATGCAGTTTTATTCCAGGATCTTAGGATTCCTCCACCACGTAAAATACTCTAAAATTGTCCAAATATCCCAAGCGGGAGTCTTGAAAACAAATGTATTTAAAACTCAGTGGCTTTTCTGGGTAAATAAATGACAGTATTTTCTTAATGTATATTGGTATTTAAATTCTGAAGCAAAGCCCTTGATTAACAATTAGAAGATCCCAACTTTAAATTCTAGTGTGAGGATAGACAACTCAATAAAACAAGCACAAGTCTCGTGAGTTCAATGGTCATCGTATGGCGTGTCTGGTCCCAAAAACAAAAGTATGTGGAATATTAAGTGGGTTCAGGACTGCCAATGGGGTTGAATACTCACCAATTGCAAGGTATGGTGACAATTACTTCTTAATGCATGTCAATCATCCAAGGGCTGACGCACACATTGGTGAATGTTTCCTTTGATCCAATTTTTTATGCAAACCAATGTCTCTATCGTCAACAGTGGGGCTAAAAGCCGAGGCAGTGTATTGTCATTGTCATTCTCGGCCACACTATCTCCCTGCTCAATTGAGCAAGGAAGCAACGCTCGTGAGCATTGGTGGTCCTGAACCAACAGCAGAAATCCCAAGTTCACAGAGACTGTAGTGCAAAAATCTATTTAGAGTGGTCTACACCTTTGACATCCACAGACTAAGACTTCCCTATAATTCCTCAGATTGTTGTCAACTAGACTAAGACAACACAGATTTATTTTTGATAAATTAACACTGGGCAGGGGAGCCAGTCTCTCAACACTTTTGACCGCCAAACCGCCCTTGCCGCATCATTACCAGAGACGATGGAAATTTGCTTCGAGGGAAACTGCTGCTGTTCCTGTGGCGGTGCCACCTCTCCACTCATCGAGACGTTGAGAATCTTGGCCAGGTTTTTCCAAAGGCACTTCAGCTTGATCATGCGCAGCTTCTCAGATTTAAACGTGGAAACCACGCCCCTGCTCGTGTTGACTGACAGATAGAACGGGGCGTCGGGGACGCACATTTTCTCGGGCCGGTGATTGCTGTATAATAAGTACAGTTGAACCGGGCACCTATCCGAGCGCTCGACATTGGCAAATATTTTTGGTGGCGCAGAGTCATTTTCTGCATTCGGGTGGTCTCTGAGAACAAAATCACAATCGCAGTGTAAACCAAGGGTGGGGAACCTCTTCCTTCGTGCTGAATAAAAGGTCAAGGTGCAGCCCTGCAATGTCTTACTCACGCCAATGCTGGAAGAGGCCTACTCTTCCACAATAGTCAGATCTTGGAAGAGATGGGAGTACACATACCTTACCCCATCACACATGATCTTCCAAGTGACTGTGATCTACCCATTTATACTGCTGGGCGGACAGAGGCTGGGGATTTAAGTATCCATTATTGCAACTGCTGTGCTAACCAAAACACCAAAGATAGAACCTTTTCCTAAATTTAGTGGGTCACATTGACACCAATCAGTTAATTATGTCAATGAAAGAGGCCCCCCAACACATCCCAAGTTATCATACTTCTGATGTCTCCTTATATTCATTTTGCTCTACAAAGCACACATTATAGCAATACAAAATGTATGGCTTGGTGAACTGTGGATAACACATGAACGTTCATTGCCAAAAAATAAATTTCATTCCATCAGCTTCTGGGTCTTTTAGTAAAAATTATCCAAGTAGCATTTGACATAGCAGGCAAATTCTGGACCAGTTTCAACTTAACGAGTCGCATTAGCAGAATGTGGCCTCCAAACACATCTTGCCGGTTTTTCATTGATCTTATAGGCAAGTTATATCCATGAACACTGTGGTGCATCTTCAACACCACAATATTGCAAAATGACATTAAAATCTAAGTGTGTAAATCCGACATCTTAAAATGCTGTCCATAAAAATAAGCCTATTTATTTTATAGAGGGATTGGATTGAGGGCCAGTTAAAGGATTGTATTTACTCAAACCGGACCATGCCATGCCTGAATATGGGTATTGGTGGCCAATTCTCCAACTGGCAGAGGGAAAAAAGGGAAGTCTTGAATCTGGATTTAATAAAGGGCACAGGTTTAAGACCACAAATGGCTGGGGGAAGGGAGTTCCAGACTTTAAAATGGGATTATGAAAAACTGTCTTAGTAGATGGTGGTAAATAATTTAACGAATTATGTCGTGAAGGGTGGAGCTGTGGTTCAGTGGCGAGTGTACTGCATTATGAACCAGTGGTCTGAGTTAGATTCCCAGCCATCAGTCGGCGAGTAATATCTCAACCAGTCTTGGGCCCTACCCATCACCGACTCACACTGACTGGCGAGGTGAAACATCCGTTAAGCCGTACACATTTACAAAGGGTTGGAAATTACAAATCGTGTCGTGCAAAAAATGGAGCTTAGCGGCGGTACCACACACTTTTCCAAAAGTGGCCGATACTGCAGATAGCAGTCACTCTGTGTGCCCATGTGGCACTGCACGTCGCCCCAGAGCATGTTGACGTGCTCGCGCATCGTCACCAGCCTGAAGTAGATGCTGTTGATGAGGAAGAGGGTGTTCAGCATCACTTCAGCGTCGCTGTGGCCCAGCAGGCTGGCCATCCACAGCGGCTCGATGTCCATCTCCGGGGTGATCTGCAACTGTTCATCAGAGAGAGCAGGCCCACTCCGAGCCCGTTTTTCACCGACGCCACCCCTACCACCGCCACGACTACCGCGACCACCTCGACCCCTGTTAGCCTTAACTAAAGCACCACCACTGCCTTTAACCACGCAACCACCACTACTTCCACTAGCGATAGCATTACCAACTGCATTAACTAACAAACCATCACCGTCCCTATGGGCATCCATTCCCTTACCGACTTCAAGCACATATAGATTATGTCCACGAACAGAACCCATAGCACCACAACCACCTTCCACATCACCATCTACTACATTCTTACTAACTACAGGAAAACACTCCTCACCTCTACCTCTGACTTCACCGACATTACCACTATCAACGATAGAGCCTTCACTGCCACTAACCACATAACCACTAATACCACCAACCACAGAATCAGTGCTGCTGTCATTTGCAGCAACAGTGACACCCTTGCCACCACCACCCACGTTACAATTTCCTCCACCCGGAGCCAAAACGCTACCATCCTCACTGTCACCACTATTTCCATTATTAACAACTACACCACCACCAATCGTAACACCCTCTCCACCTCTAACAACACCAGTGCCTCCCCGTGTACCACCCACGGAAACACCACCCAGGACACCACCGGCAAGTAAATTACCATCAGCCTCTAAACCACCAGCACCACCACAATCCACTCCTCCATCACAACTACCTCCTCCTGCACCACCACCATCATCACCACTACCACCCCGATCGTCTATCAGCCGCCACTTCTTATTCCTATCACTGTCATCATCATCACCACCTCCTCCACCATCACCCCATTTGTCTATCAACTGCCTCTTCATCTTCCTCTCACTGTCATCATCATCATCACCACCTCCTCCACCACCACCACCACCACCCCATTTGTCCATCAGCCGCCTCTTCTTCTTCCTCTCACTGTCATCATCATCACCACCTCCACCCCCATTGTTCATCAGCTGTCTCTTCCCCTCACCGTCCTCGTCATCACCTCCTCCACCCCCATTGTCCATCAGCCGCCTCTTCTTGTTCTTCTTCTTTTTCTTCTTCTTCCTCTTCCTCTCACTGTTCTCGTCATCACCTCCTCTACCACCACTCCTCCATTTGTCCATCAGCCGCCTCTTCTTCTTACTCTGATTGTCATCATCATCATCATCACCACCTCCACCCCCATTGTCCATCAGCTGCCTCTTCCTCTCACTGTCATCATCTCCTCCACCCCCAGTGTCCATCAGCTGCCTCTTCCCCTCACCATCCTCGCCATCGCCACCACCTCCACCGTCAACAAATCCTCCATCCGCCTCATCTTGCTCGGGGTCTCGGTGGACGTCGGCTAACACCGTGATCCTGCAGCCATCGCAAGAGGGACGACGACGCTTCCCATTCAACTGGAAGTCCTCCAAATCGACGGTCAGGTAGCGACCCAGCATCTTTCCCGCTTGTCCTCCTCCTCTTCTTCTCTGACTAACACCGCAATTTTGTTTTGACCTCGAGACTCCGCATTCTTCTTGTTCTGTTGGTAAACAACGTCCAGCATCTTCTCCTGTGGGGATATCACCACCACCACCACCACCACGACCTCTAAGTGATCCACCACCACCACCACTTACTTTCCCACCTCTTCCAATTACACTACCTAAATGCCCTCTTCTTCTGTTTCTTCCACCATGTCCACCACTACCACGTTTTATTGGCACATCACTTCCATCTCTTTGCTCACCACGTCCTTGAAATCCTTTCCCTCCTTCTCCTCCTCCTCCCTTGAACGTCTCCACGTAGTTACCAATCAGCTCGGCTCTGGTCCTTTGGATGACCGCCTCGAGAAAATTATGACAAATTCGCGCCCCAGCCCTGGTCCGCCTCTCCCTCATCTCGAACGTCGTCTTCCTCTTCCTCCTCACAGGTTCCAATGTTATCTTCGCCTCAACGTTCTCTTTCCTACGCTTCTTCCCCGACTTGCAAGCGGTGACGTTTGGCGCCACGACCACCGCCATCGTCGTCATCGTCAACGATTTCAACGAGTTCACGCCTCACGCATTCAACCCTTAGTTGGGGGTACGCGATTATATAGCAACAGTTTAAAGGGCAACTGCAAAACAAACAAAACAAACACACGCGGACACGCAATTACAACAAATGCGATGGAATTGTTTTTGTTTGTTTGGTGGTGTTTTTGTTGTTGTTGTTGTGTGAAACCAACTTGGTGAGGCGAATACGACGAAAACGCTGCCACCTTTCACGCCGCGGTGTTGAATATGGACGGAGCGGGGGGAGGGGAGGGGCGGGGGGCGGGGGGGGAGGGGCGGGGCGGGGCGGGGGGGCGGGGGGGCGGGGCGTGGGTGGCGCGCGCCTCGCCGCGTGCGGCTTTTCCCGCGCTTTTCTAGATTTGAAGCTTTCGTGACTGATTGCAAGGATTAATATTCTTAGGTTTTTTTCGGTAAAGTCGTGATTTATTATTTTAATTTTATTATTTCTATTATTTTTTATTATTTTTTATTTGTATTTTTATCTACGTGACTTTACCGGAAAAAACCTAAGAGTATCAGGAGTATTGCATGGGGAGAGGTTTAATATTAAATAATATGAATTCAGGAGTATTGCATGGGGAGAGGTTTAACATTAAATAATAATTATTGCCCGGTTACTACTTTTTTTGAAACTATTGTAAAATAAGAGTTTGTTTCATAATGACAAAAAAAAATATTGGCCGGTAAGAATTGTTTTTTTTTGTCTATTACTAAATAAACTAAACTATTAAACAATTTTGGGACCTCCTTTTGCCAGTACCAAAATATGATGATTGATTTGGCGTCCTCTGTCTCTGGTGTGGACCAATAAGTTTCAAAGACAATGCATTTATTATCAGAGTATATATTTTTTTGCATTTTGACCACAAGTATTGTGCTTAATGCAGACATGATTCCTTGTAAAAGGTTTCAGTTTGGTGTTTTAACACCTTAACCCCTGTTTTGTTGCCAGATAAAAAGGGAAAACGCTATCGTCATATTAAACCATTTTTTATTTTACCAGGTAAGGCCCATTAAGCTATTTATCTCTTTTTCAGAAGCGACCTGGCCACAATGAATAGTTCACGAAGTGGCTTATCATCATGTGGAAATTTACAGCAGCCAACTACTCTAAAACGGCGTGATGTTGATTCTAAATGTGGAGGGGAAAAACCTGGAGGAGCCGAACAAAACTCCACGCGACCACGGGGAGAGAGACGCCGCAAACTCCAATTATACAGCAGACATCAGGGGTTGAGATCGAACCCACGACCTCCTGCATACCAAGAGAGGTAGTTAACATCTCCTGGCCACCGTGATGATGATGAGAGAGAGAAACGCAAACTCCAAAAAGACAGCAGGCATCAGGTTCGGCATCGAACCCAACACGTGCTGAATACCATGCGAGGGAGTTAACATCTCCTAGCCACCGTGATGATGATGAGAGAGAGACACGCAAACTCCAAATATACAGCAGGCATCAGGGGTTGAGGTCGAACCCACGACCTTCTGCATACCAGGCGAGGTAGTTAACATATCCTGGCCACCGTGATGATGATGAGAGAGAGACACGCAAACTCCAAATATACAGCAGACGTCAGGGGTCGGGATCGAACTCAAGACCTGTATACAAGGCAAGGGAGTTAACATCTCACCTATTTGTTAAATGCTTATTTCCAGGTCAGAAGTTGTTTTTTTTAAATACACATTTCTCTTACCAAGTCATCGGGTTAAAAAACGCATTATTAGAACTTTTTTTTTAAGTCTATTACATTTAGATCCAGAAGGCGCATAGAATTATATAGGCCTGTACCATTACAAAAAAAACGATAGGAGTGCAAAAATGGAGAAAGATGTAAGCAAGTCGCGAAATATAAATACAGTAATTATATAAGTTCGATTTGATCAAACTTGGGCAAGGCAACAAAAACAACAAAACAGTCCCAGACCACACGAAGCTAACACACAGTAGTAGTCCCTCAATAAAATGGCACATTAACATTGAACTATCGATACACAGGTGCAGTGACATAGAATTGGTCACTACATAGCATAGCGCTGGCTGCTGGCAGGGAAGGGGATCTGCAGAGTGAAGCAGCCCTGATTGACAGCAGGCCACGTGACAGACCCGAGATGGATTTGGGGTAAAGGTTACGGAACGGACACGTCGAGAGCCCTGCTAGTAGGTTCCAGAAGGGGGGCGTGGCCGAGGTGGAGCGAGGACACGCTAACAGGATAAAAGGGGACCCCGAGCGGGAGATCGGGGCCGTCGTTTGGAGTGGGATCCCCGTCGTCGTCGTTGCTGTTGAAGATCATCGCCTTCGCCGCTGTCTCGTGCCTTTGTCGCTGTCGTCGTCCACTTAGTAATTGCACTGCTAGCAGTAGTTGGTTGTCTTAGTTCAAAGCCGTCAGTGTCAGACGGTAGGCTAGCAACCAGTGTAGAGTTGCGTTTAAGCGAGAGACAGAGCGTTGTGTAACATCATAGAGTGTGTAACAGTGCGCTTGGTGTTTAATTAAATAATTGCCTCCAAGAAGTTACGTCTCCAAGTCAGTCACTACACAGGTAAGGATAAAAATTACAAATTACATTTGCAAATGTGACTATCCAGCACTAATCTTCTGCTTCAGGATATGTTTTGAAGGAAGGTCTAGGATGTTAAGGGGGGAAACAAGGTTGTTCCAAAACGTTGGTGTTGCAACGGCAAAGGCTGTATTACCTATTTCATTTCTTGTTCTAAGGATATTTAAGAGGCAATTAGATGTACGCCTTAGGGTTCTTGGGTTTGACAATGGGGAAAATTAAGTATCTACGTGTAATAAAACTCGTTGTATAGCACAGATTTGCCAATCCCGATCTTATGAACAGGGCCAATGTAAATTTCTTCTTGCAGCAAGTGTTGAGAGATTGGATTTAAAGTAGAGATCACAATGGTGGGTCCTGTATGGTACGTCCAGTGCAAATCGAAAATTTGAATGATAAAGGGGGTTTCGTTTGTTCAGTGTTTCATTAGTATCAGATTTTTTATCAGCGTAACAGTCGTCAAGAAGTGGTAAAATTATAGCTTAATAATTTGCAGGTGCAATATAATGGGAGTACAATGTTTCTGATAAAAACTGTTTGATTTGATTGTATTTGAGATGTGATCAATATGGGGTTGGAATGGAAGTATTTGAACCGATCAGTAAACCCAAGTATTTGAAGCACTCCATTCGCTAAATTATGTTGTTTCTCATATTTGTAATAGGTGAAGGGAATGAGATTGTATTTTTGTGTGAAGATAGCGTGATTTTCATTTTTTGTGGATTTAGGAGCAATTTTAGCGGTGACAATTGACATTGAATTACATAACAAGTATAACCCGTAAAAACAAAGTTTTTCACTATAAATCCTTTATATGCGTGGCGGCTAGAGTCCTCTCGTCCTCTGGCCTGAGATGGCTGCCACCTATGGGTCAGATTATTGCATGGCAGCATTAAGCAATTGGTAATTAAATATAATATTTTTGTCCTAAAAAGTGTACAATTTTGGAAAAAAATTTTCATGAACATTAATTGTCACGCACAACGAGTCTGTGTGGAAAATGTCAGCTCGATTGGATCACGGGAAGTGGGTTAAAAAACGACTGAAAGATTTGCACGGTCCTAAGCAAGCAAGCAAGTGAACTTAATATAAATGATTTAATAAGTATAACCCGTAAAAACAATTTTTTTCACTATAAATCCTTTATATGCGTGGCAGCGAACTTAATATAAAGGATTTAAAAATATATTCGCCTGTGGGGGACGCGGGGATCGATCCCGCGATCTTTGGCATGGGAAGCGAGGGCGCTACCAACTGCGCTACTCCGCCACGGCCTGTGGAGGGGTTACGCTCTGGGCTCTTATACTGTGACGTTCAGCCAAAGCCAAGAATGAGTTATTTTGAATATATGTAAAATATTTTTTTTTTGCCTAAAAAGTGTAA